CAGGTTCATAATTGAATCATCTATGATTGAAGATAATCATGCATGACTAGATACATATATATCAAATGTTGAAAAACAATTAAGATATCAAACATTAAACAAAATCCAATTATCTGGTTATTAATGACGGTCAATCTCCAACCAAACGGGGCTTAAGTAGCAAAACTTACTACATATTTTCATTATTTTAAAATTTGATATTTAACTCTTTCAAGGGAGGTGAAACGGGATAACGACTTTTTAACGGTCACCACCAACGAATCATTTCCGCGAATTTTGTAAATAAATCGTTAAATTTAAGGTTCAAATTTTTTTCAAGCTTCGACTTGTGCATAAGTGATTACATCATTTTTCTGAATTTTTTTTTATAAGTCAAACTTACCACATGAGAAATATTCAATAAATGAAAATGAGAGATTGATTTGCCTTTGTTTAGTAGTAAATAATATATTTCAATACGATTTGAGGACTCGTCATTGTCCAAACCTCATTGTTAAATTGTACACGGTCATCCTGGGGTAAAGTTAAATTACGAAAACCTTCTTATATTTGGGTAATTATAATTACTTTCCTCAACTTTGAATTGTCTTATATATTTACTTTTGCGGTGTCAAATTTAGTTGAATTTTTTAGATTACTTAGAATGTGCATCAATTTTTACCCGTTTTACTCCATTCGAGCTCCACATTTTGAATCAAGCTAATCATAAGACGTGTCTATTGGCATGTAAATATAAGATGTGTCCATGAGCAATTGCATTTCCACACAAAACGAACACAAACTAGATAACATTTCAGGGAATGTAGACGATTCTGTTGTACTTGATTCTAGAAGAGTATACCAGTGTAAGGTTTGTTTGACCGCATCTGATTTTTTCTGAAAGACGAAAAATAATCACGAAAAAAAAAAAAAAAGGAATATCACATATCAACTCGCCCTACCTCGTATTAAGGGGAAGTTATATGTTAGATCAGGTGATTGTTAATCACATATGGATGATTAAATAACTACCCAGTAAGATGACACATACACTGGATTTGTATGTGATTAAGTTTTTTCTCTCTCTCTCTCTCTATTGAAATTAATTTTTTTATTCTTTATTACAAGTTGGTATTTTTTTAACTTCTTTTTATTTATTTATTTTATTTATTTCTTTTGGGCGAAGAGTTTGGGCTTGACAGGTAATCCAGTTGTCCAGCTGTATAGGCCCACTTACCCAACCGAATATGTGACCTTTTAAAAAGATATATTGACTTTTGAAGCCCAACAAACGTTACATCCAACTCGAATAAAAACTAAATGAAAAACATAATTAAATCAAATGCCTGCATATTTTTCATTGACTTTACTACTAATTAAATAAATAAATATAAATAAGATAATATTTATGTCATTATTCTTGTGACCTGGGATTATTGGACTTGGACATAAATTAATTTGGGCTTCATATAAAAGTCCAATTTGCTTGTTGAATTCGCCAACCCAGTTTAGTGGGCCACGTCATGACCTTGAACCCAATAGGGTACGATATAAAACTTTTCCCGGGGCCCGTACCCGACGATTACTAAAAACGTCAAAAACGAGTTGAACTCAATTTTTTAGTAGATCGTACTATGAATTGATACGAATTTTCTAAAAGTTTCATAAAATGGCAAACACGGACTTTTGGGAGTATAACGACGTCGGATCTATGATCATGAGTTTCGTTCATTGGGCCGTTTTACCTGAGTTAGAGTTCGTTTTTTCGATCGACTGGGTTATTAATGAATTAATTAAGTCGAATTAATCCTATAGAACAAATAAAATATTCAATCCAACAAAAAAATAAAGTAAGACTTCTGAAAATTATATTAAAATCGAAATTAAAAACAAAATAAAATATAAAACATGAATTTGTTCTTTGATTTTAATATGACAATATATACTTGGCTTATTCTCCTCACCAAGGGTTGTTGAATTTGGACAAAAGTTTTGTTGGGCTTTTGTACGCAACCCAATAACATTGTTAGACTTTTTACAACCCAATTTGGTGGGCTAGACCATTGACTTTTGTCCCAAATAAGATTTAATTTCTTGCAAAAGAAGTATTAGTGTGAATCTATATAGGGCAAATTACGCCCGTCGTCCTTGAGGTAAACTCAAATTACGAAAAATAATCTTGCCTGTTTGGATCATACAATTATCTTCCTCAACCGTATATTATCTTACAAAAAAAAAAAACCCCTCATTCAGTAGGTAAATTTGAAACTATAAGGGTAAATATGTAAGAAAATACATAATTTAGAGGAGTTTTTGTAATTAGGCAAACAAGAAGAATTTTTTTTTTTAATATAAACATAGGGTGGGCTGTAATTTGGCCATCTATATAAATCAAAGGTGCGAAACTATTTGATGTATTTCACCGTATGTTACTAGGACTTCATAAAAAAAATATAGTTTTGAAAATATATACGAGGAGGTTCAAAGATTTTTTCCTTCCTAGTCAAAAACCCAAATTTTAATTTTAATTTGTGAGACCCCTGAACAACATAAAATACCTGTTTTGTCCTTTTAACATGTCTTATATTTCATATTTTTCATTTATTCATGTAACATGTCTCTCATTTCATTTTTACAGAACTTATTCTTTTGCAAGGTGTTTCTTATCTATATATTTTCCCCGGTGCGATGTTATTTTCAGTCATTTCCCTATGGTGCTCGGTGCAATTCTTATTATCTTTAAGATTTATTTTTGACGATATACTAATATTTAATAGTATTCTTATATTATAACTATGAAGAACATGACACTTATAACATATTTTTATTATCGTTGGTCGATTACGTTATGTACTTAGATTTAGTGACCGTAATAATTGTTATCTGCTTAAATTTATTTTTGAGACATGTATTTTCAGTCAAAAATATGTCGCCCCGTGCATCGCACGGGTGAATACTAGTTCAATAAATAACCTAATCCCCTAACACCTCTCTCTCGCCATTGTTCTTATTTCGAGAGAAAAATATTTATCCAAATCTCTCGGTTGGTTCGGATTCAGGTTCCCTTCAAATATTGGAATTAATGGAAAATAGATAAGAATTAACTCAAAGAGCCAGTGTAATTAATTATATTACTGAGTTTATGATATTTTTGATAAATACTGAGCTTATGATTTAATTTGTAGATTTATATATTTTTTTAATTTAGTTTATAGATGGTCAGCAAATTGATGCTGCAAATTGAAATCTCTGGTGTGGAATTGCGACAGTGCCATAATTAGATCAGTGCTTGATGAAATTACTCAAAAGTATAGTCGTCCGTATAAGTTTGGATTTAATTTGCATTTTCGATTTTAGTGTTCGTTTTCTCTAACTCGTATATTTTGCCGCAGGGATTGTTGTTTTTGCTACTTTATACAATAAGGAATGATGGGGAATAGTACACTACGAAGTGAAATTTATCAAGAGTATAGAACACTGTAGATGACTATAGTCATATATAGTAACATTACTACATGTTACTGTAGTCGACTATAGTCATATATAGTAGTAACATATAGCAACATGTAGTCATGTATGGGCTATGTGTTTTTTTTTTTTTTAATTTAGAGTGATGATGATGATTTGTTTTTTGTTGAAGAACATGTGCATGTTATTGTGTATTTCAATCTACATTTATACAAATTGATTTATAATATCAAGATTTAAATTGTGATTTTTGTTGTTTGGTGTCGATGATGTTCTTTTGTATATAATCAGCGATCTACATAATCGGTCGATTATATATAACTATAAATAAATGTATATAATTTTTGAGTAAAAAGAAAGTACATGACTATATATAACTATACGTGACTACATAACATATAACATATTATAGTCATATGCAGTCAATATCTGTACAAGAAACTTATTCAAGAATATTAAAAAAATATAAAAAAAAAATTTAAAAATTTGAAAAATTTAAAAAATTAAAAAAAAATTAAAAATTAGAAAATTAAAAAATATAAAAATAAAAAAAAAAAAAAAATTAAAAAATTAAAAATAATACGAAAATAAACATTTATATTGTTTTATTAAAAAAAAATATATAAAAATGATACATGCAGACTCAAAAAGGCTAAATGCGGTTGGGCATTGTGCTGAATGCATGGTTAAAAATATTGAATGCAGTTAGCAAAAATTGCAATTAAAGGTACAATAGTACTTTTGCCTCTCCAAGAGTGTATCTTAAAGAAAGAATTTTAAGGGTGGACCTATCCCTATATATTTTCCATACTAGGGGTGTATATCAAATGGACCCTATATAATAATAATAATAATAATAATAATAATAATAATAATAATAATAATAATAATAATAATAATAATAATAATAATAATAATAATAATAATAACAATAATAATAATAATACTAAAAAATAATAAAATTATAAAAGAAAATCAGAATATCATCTGTATATAATAGTGTCTTTTATATTTGAAGAATATATGACGTCATAAAAAAAAAGTATTACCCTGCTTATTGCAAAAGCTTGTGAAACTTACTATGCAGCAAATGCACAAAGCTGCAAACACTTCTTTTCACTATTTATTTATACACAAACATATGTATATGCCCACCATAGCATATTCCGAGAAAAGAACGAAATCAAAGACAAACGCGCTTCATTTCACAATTACGAGCTGGCACCATAAACCCGAATTCTCTGTTCAATCGGAACCTTGCAGTAGGGACAAGTAGCCCTACCTTTCTTACCATAGGTGTCATTACAGCTGGCGCAGATAACCTGATGCGCGCATGGAAGAAAAACGACAGAAACCTCGTCTTTCATGCACAACATGCACCGCCTATCACAGATCACCTGTTTCTCTACGGGATTTTTTATTTCGTCGAGACCTTTGAGAACCTTAGCAATGGTTTCTTTTCCGAGAGGATCGTTGCTCAACCCGTTGGAATCTTCCACCCGCGGGTCATTATTATTGTTGTTAGATTGATTTACGGCATCCGTTGTTGTTGACTGAGGGGAATTTTCCTTGAGGCGGGAATATTCTTGCTCGAGGCGTTGGAGGTCGTCTTTGTGGCGCTGGAAATCTATCTCTATTTTCAGGCGAAGGGCTTCGAGTTTTCTTTTGTTGTTTGCCTCAGAAGCTTCTTTCAGGCGTCGTTCTTCCTCGAGTTGCGTGAGAGCTAGCTCTTTGGATTTTTGAGTCTGCCTCCATTTTTCCTTTTTTTTTTTAATATGCAAACATTTTCAAGATTCAATTTTTATTTCTGGTTCTTACCTTTGAGAAATTCGAGTTCACGAAAAGGAACAGGTCATGATAATAATAACCAATAAAAAGTAAAACGGAACGAGAAAAAAATACGAGGAACCAGAAGTTTGACGGTGCACAAACAATTTTAAGTTTAACGTGGATCATATACATCATGCTCTTTATAAACAAAATATTGGCACAAACGACAACAAAATTTCTCCAGTTGTGGCAGAATACACACATAAAGGATATGCATTATACAGCAACTAAACACGAGACGTAAAAAGATCGTAAACAAGTCAACTTCTAATTGATCTCAGTAAATTTAATTCAAGAAAAAAAAACTCAGAATTGACCACAAGCCACAGTCAGTCGAGACTCGACACTACTATCATTTTATTTTTATTATTATTAAAAAGTTGTTTCATCAATAACTTTCGCAATACTATGAAAACATGGCTCATGCAAATTCCAACACGATGAAATATATCTTAATCCGCTGACTTCACAAGATTCAAATTCGGCGCATAAGTCATTTCAAAATCAAAATAAATCAGCAGTCACAAAAAGCATTTCAAGATAAACGGAAAAAAGAAAAAGCGAAATATTTTATATACCTCAGATGCCTTTGTATCCGCCTCCACTTGAGCCAGCTCCCGCAGTAAGTCCGCTATCTTCTGCTTCTCCGCCGTAATCTCGTCCTGCATCTTAGCCTTCTGCTTCTCCCAAGCCAAAAGCCTCTTGCGACACTTCTTCTCCCTCTTTTCAACTTCCGAACAAGTCGTAGCCGATTCCGAAGCGCTCAATTTCGAAGCTTCCATCTCAGCCCTAATCTCTGCGTTCTCCGTCTCGAGCTTCCTCACGGAACCGTTCGCCCTGTCCACCTGTCCACTCGCCAATCGCAGAGCGTTCTCCATCTCCGTTAGCCTCTTCAAAGTCGTGTCTTCGAGGGTTTGTTTCCCCTTCTTCAGCCTCTGTGTTTCTTCTCTCTCCATTCTCAACGTCTTGAGCTCCGTGAAATCGTGGCTCAGCTTTCTCGCAGCTTGCATGGCCTTCTGGTGGGCCCACTCCTTTCGCTCCTTCACCTGCTTCTCCAAGTCCTTTATTTGATGGATCAAACTAAGAATCATTTCGTCTTTTTGGTCCAGCGGCACCTGCTCTTTACTCTCGTCTAGATTCAGTTCTTGAAATTTACTCATCACCGAATTCACCACGTCTTGATTCTTCACGTACGGAGATTCCTCGGCGGCGGCGGCGGGCCCACCGGATAAAGAACTCGGGCAAGCGTGCGATTGGCTGTTGTTGGGGAACTGCTTCGAGTTCGCCCGAAACCCCGCAGCAAACATGGCAACATTCCTCTTCAAAAGACTCTTCATCGACGGACTCAGATTAAATCTCTTCGGACACTCGATCTCTCTCTGCAGAGCCATCTCCGACGCGTAAGTCAAGAAACTCTTCATTCCAGTCATCGGAAACTCGGCAGTGCCGCCGGTACCAAACCCCCATCCGCCGTGAAACCTACACAACGCCGGAGCAACCCCAACAGGTCCCTCGTGGGCCCCACCACCCCCATTCACCGCCACGGGGGCAGGTTCGCTCTCGACCCCGTCTTCGTCCCCATCCCCGTTAGTTGAGGGCATAACGGGAATGTCTATCACGCTAGCACGCCCGACGTGGAGATCGCTCATGAGCAAACACCACATGGCGTCACCCCTACTCAAATTGGGCTTCACCTGCTGCAACAAGCAAACCATACCCGTGAGGGAATATTCCTCGAGCTGCCTCAAATCGGAAAACGAGGCTTCCGCCTCGTCACCATTCCCCACACTACTAGCCCCACTATTCAGATAAGCCAACGAATTATGCAGAATATTAGTCAATACATCCATCCCACCATAGCAATGCCCATTCCTCAAAATCGCCTTCAACGCCACATCATCGTCGTAACCTAGCGTAACGAGCTTGCTAATCGCCTCGTTGTACAAGAACTCCAAATTCTTCAACAATATCTCCTCCAACTGCTCCTCGGTGCAGTAGCCCCACCCGTTATCATCAAACGCGGAATTCGGGTTTGCATTTTGGGTCAGGGTACTGAGGGCCATATGGTAATTTTTGGGTTTGATTTTCACGTTCCCTGATTTCTCCCCATTACCATTTCCGTTAACGGCGGCGGAATGATCGGATTCAGGTTTCACCGATCGGGTCCTCCGATTAGTACGGATGTGTTTCTCTCTAACAGTACATCCCATTTTCCCCCAAAAATTACTGAAATTCGAGTGATCAAACAAACGAAGAACAAGAAATTAAACCTAGCTAGAAACAAAAAAACAGCTAATCAGTAACAAAAATGCATAATTAAAAAAAAAAAGGCATCGATTTTTCACGAAGAAGCTAAAAACATGGATTAAAAAGACTCACAGATCGGATGGCGATTTCGAATCGAGGGTTTCGATCGGAGGATTATGTAGGTAAGTTTTCTTGAGCTGCAGAGATTGTGTTTGCCTGTAGCGGAGGAGGGTATGTTTTAGGAGATTTGATTCGACCCGGATACAAATCGGGTCGGGTTAGAATTTGTTAGAAATTAGCATTTTCAGTTTATTTGTTATTTTTTTGGGTAGTGAAGAATTAATTGCGATTTGTTTAAAGAAAATCAGAAAATTCAAAAATAAAATAGAAATTAGAGTGAAAATACTTGGTTTCAGAATTAGAAATTTTTAAATCGGACTCGACCAAATTCGAAATTCTAATATTATATTGAAAAAAAAAGGAATTTCGAAGATAATATAATTAAAAAAAAAAATTTAATTTCAAATTTCTAATATTTTATCAATCTATAAGATTTGAACATAATAAAAACAAATTGAATTTCTCACGATACGGGTTTAATTTGAGACGCATTATAATTTTATCGGCTTCGAATTACTTATGGTTCGAATTAAAAAAAGTTATATATATTCCATATTATGTCATCTTAATTTTTTTTAATGACGTATTCTATTTCGGTTGAATGAAATCTTAAGCAACGGTTAAATCCGAAACGAACGGAGTGTGTTTTTATGATTAATTTCGTAATGTTTTGCGGTTAACACGAAAGAAGGCGGAAGCTAGGAAAATTGTTAGTCCGGGTCCCACATCAATACCGGAAGGCACAATCGTATGCAGAGACGATTTATGGTTTGTGCAAAAACATTTATCAAGATATGGTCGCGACGTTTGATATGTTACCTATAGTTCAGAGGTGCAAAACGTAGCTTATCGTAGATAATCTGATTCAATACATGTAAACTCTCTAATATTACAAAATATAACCTCAAATTGAGAATACTAATTGCTCATTATCTCACTAATGGTGCTTTGTGATAATTATATTTCTAACAAATCTGATATTAAATGTCATAAAATCTAAGTGATTAACTTGCAAAATAATATCTTAAAATGTGTAAAAAATAAAATTGCAAGTGATATAAACTCAAAAACCATAATATTCAATATTATAGTAACTAATTATTCACAAGACGGCAGGTTTAATACATGATTTTTCTTCTATTTGCTCTCACTTTTGCATTAGGTAATAGTTATTACCTAAACTAATTATTCACAAAATAATTAGCTGTTTAACCAAACTAATTATTCACAAAATTTAACAAAAAAATAATTGTTATTAGTGGATTTACTAAAAAATGTTCTTCATCTTTTTTCAGTCAAAATTCACAAAGGAAGATATTATTAGGTAATTGACTTGTGATTAACAAAATAAACATAATAATTTCATGTGTTTTTATTCACAAAATCAAATTGATAAAACTCTCTTAAATTACATAAGGAAATAAGCTAGATATTGACATATATATAATAGTAGTCCAAAACACAAATTCTACAACTCCAAATCGACAAATTTCGATAGCGTAAACTCGTCGACAAAGATAGCCATGTTCAGTACTAAGAGCTTCGTCGTTCTCTTTGTTCTCATTTTCGCCTTAGGTAAGAAATGTCGAACGAGATTTTTTTTTTTTCGTTTTTCTTTTCAATTTCTCACGAGATGTATACATTGGAAGAAATTACCGTGCTTTAATTTTGTTTCTTTCGATGGAAATTAATGGATGGTTGCAGTTATCATGGAAGGAGAAATGGCGGAAGCTCGGAATGTTGTTAGTGCGGGCCCCACATCTCAACCGGGAAATCATATATGCACGTACGATGAAGGTGAGTGCGGCTACTTTTTACCGGAATGGAAATGTGTATTAAAATGCGTTGAAGAATATGGACCCGATACGCGCAGTGAGTGTATTGTCCCTATCGGTGCACGCCATACACATTGTTACTGCTATCACGACTGCGACTGACTGCCCGCCCGGCCACCAAAGAAACTCTCCGACATGATATTATTTTAAATATAATTATCAATAATAAATGTTATCCAATTTGAAATTGTTTAGGGTACCATGTATTTTATTTAATTGAAATTGGAATTCAATCATTATTATACATGTAGAGTACTCTCGAAAATAAATTGTCGATCGACGACTACACAAACCATCTCCGATAATTTTTTTCTATGTACGTGTCAACTTTTCAAATAAATTCTGAGTAATTAAATTATGAATTCCAGTAAACTTTATAATAAATTCCAGTAATTAAAATTGGAAATGCTCATTATCTCACTAATGGTAACTTGTTATAATTGTATTTTTCCTACAATTTGGAATTAACAAATCTGATATTAAAATGTCATAAAATCTAAGTGATTTTACTTGCAAAAATCTATTAAAATTTCTAAGGAATCAAATCAAATGTTCACCTATAAATACTAAAATAAAATAACATTCATGTATATACAAACGATATAACTCTAAAACCATAATATTAATTAATATTATAAACTAATTATTCCGAAAATGGCCAGGTTTACTACAGGACTTTTTCTTCTATTTGCTCTCACTTTTGCATTAGGTAATAGTTTTCTCCCCAAATATTTTTACTAATTAATTCGACAAGTTTATTTTTTAATCGCCTAAGATGATTTTATTTATTTATTTATATTAAATGGATGCATGCATTTCATTAATTAATCGACGTTTTATAGTATTACACTATTTTACATTCGTTCATCTAAATTTGACTTTTTTTTCTTCTTCTTCGCATCGATTTTACCAACGAATGGATCGATAAATGCAGGTATAAACACGGGGGAAATAATGGTGGAAGCTAGGCAGATTGGCAGTCCGGATATCACAAACCCTAGTTCGTTTCCGGTTATAAAGAAGGCGGACATATGTGAAAGTGGTCTCGGTCAATGCACAGAAAGATTCAACGACGCTAAGTGTAATCACGCGTGCATGGAACACTGGCCGCGTTCGGTTACTCCACCGCAAGGGTCTTGCGAATCCAGTTTTCCCGGAGTTCCGACAGTTTGCGTTTGCTATCATGATTGCGAAAATTAAAAATTGAGAGTTTAATTTGTTCTATATATACTTTCTTCATAAGTGAAGGATTGTATGTTTAGATTTGCATAATTAATGCAATAAACATTTTGAAATACCATTTGTTCTAAGAATATCTGTCTTCAAGAATTTTTATTAGTGGAAATTGAAATAACATTTGACAAAATATGAGTGTTTTAATGAAAAAACTTGTTTCAAAATCGGAAAATTTCGGATTATAATTGGTGGAATTCGGAAAGCTCTACTTTTGTTCGCCTTAAATATAACGTGTAAATTACGGTCACCTCTAAGAGGTATGGTCAAATTACGAAAAATCCCCTCATGTTTGAGTATTTGTAACCACCCCCCTCAACTGTGAGTCATCTTACACGTCCACCCTTATGATATCAAATTCAAAATAATCTTCTGGGTAAATTACAATCACCACCCCCCCTGAGGTATAGCCAAATTACGAAACCCCCCTCCTGTTTGAGTAATTACAACGATCCCCACAACTATAAATCTTCTTACACGTCCACCCCGTTGTCAAATGTAGTGGAATCTTCTAGATTATATGGAATGTTCTCAATTTTGTACCGTTTTATCCCATTCGAGCTCCACTGTAGACATCGAAATTTTGAGATAAATTATTAATTAATAACCAAAATAAACCAGTTATTAATTAGGTCTCAAAATTAAAGTCCATAACAAATTTGGGCTTTAAAATATCTGGCCCACATTGCAAGTCGAGAAACCCTAGCTCGTGCCTATAAAAGAAGGCCTCAAGTTCATGTAAAAGATAGACTCACACAGATACATATCGAGCTCTCAAGCTCACGTCTCGAGCCTCCGCCTCGAATTCATAACATATTTGAATTCGAGGTGTTCGTGATAGGAAATCATATGCTCGATGCCTCGAATTCATAACATATTTGAATTCGAGATGTTCGATCGTAATAGGAAATCATATGTTCGATTCAAGAACAAGCTTTTAAGCCCTTAAATCAACATTAAAATAGGAGAGAAGAATCAGGGGAATTGCGAAGATTGTAATCCACATCGTTTTGATTAATAAATTATTTGTTCCCTATTTTCTTGTCTTGTATTTTTATTATATTTTGGAGACTCGAAAATTTGTGGTTTACATCCACATTTTGAAATAAGATGATCATTAGATGTGTTTTTTGGCTTGTATATATCAGATTGTGGTGCATTAGAAACTGCATTTTTGCACAAAACGTGTACAAAAAGGTGGAGATGTGTGAAAAAAAACATAGTTGAGGGGGTAGATATAATTATCCAAACAAGAGAGATTTTTTCGTAAATTAACCATACCTCAGGGTGTGGTTGTAATTTACCATATTATTATGATAATAATATTACACCAAAGAATTTCGAAGAATTCTTATTATACAATATCTTCAACTAATCCTTATAATCTATTCCAGCATATTAGATATTTAACTTACAACTATTGCCAGAGATTTATAAAATAACATTTTTTCTAAATATGTGAATAACAAATCTGATGTGTATATTTTATCTATATACTGAGAATTTAAAAATAATATTATGTAAATCGATTGAATTACAGGATGAAAAAGAATAGTAGTAAAAAGTAAATGGGGTTTTTGTGCATAAGTCCCCAACCAAGCATGTTTATTATTCTAGGTTTAGGCTATATCTCTTTTACCAATAAGTCCATCCCTTTAATATTTATTATAAATAAATGAAACATTCATGTATATCCCAATATTATAAGATTTGTCCTTCAAGATATATATATATATATATATATATATATATATACTACAATTTCTTGCAATGTATATAAATTTTCGAACATATACACATGTGACATAATTTTTAAATTTGTGATCTAATTCATTTTTTTTTTCCAATGAATAATGATTGCAGTTAACAAAGAAGGAGATCAAATGGCGGAAGGTCGGGAAATTGTTAGTCCGGGTCCCACACTGGCGCCTTCGGGAAGCAAACACATATGCATAACCGACTTAGGAAAGTGCGGTGCAATTCTCAGAAATTTTAAATGTCAATTCAGTTGCGCCAATAGTTTTGGACCAAGTGTTACTACACCATAATGAGCATTTTCTAACACTACAGATTTATGATCGCTAACGGATATTTTCCTTTAGGAATTTCTAACGGATATATCCGTTAGAAATTAAGTTGTAACAGTTGTTGTGCGTTGGCATTACACGAACAAAAAATATTTTTTATATATATTAATTGCAACAGATAAATTCGTTATAAATCTATTTCTAACAATTATTACTCACATTATTTTATGTATTATTTAATTTTGATAAAAAAATAAATGGAAATAAATGTATTGATAATTATTCCATAATTAAATATATAATGAATTTAATCAAATTTCACACAACACCAATTTTAATAAAGCAGATGGTGGTTGGAGGCCTATTTGTACGTCATTTTCTCTCCTCCGTTGAACAAAATGAAATCTCATCTCTGCTCTTCCTCACACGGCGAATAACAACCACCATCCACCGCCAACATGTTCCTCAACCACCACCAGTCGCTCCATCGGTTTAGGTAAGGGATATTTTTATTTGTCTCTGTTGAATTGACACTCCTCTTTTCGATTAAATGTTAGGGTTTTCACTGAAGAAACTCTAAATCGAATCCTCTGTTCAATTGAATGTTAGGATTTTCGTTGAAAATCTATAAATCGGATTTTGTTCTCAGTCATTGTATGACTATCATTGTATTTTCTCTTCGTCTTACTCTCTTTCTCGTTTTCGTCTCCCATTCTCTGATCAATTGTTAGGGTTTATGCTGAAAAGCTCTAAATTGAATATGTTACCAATTCTTGTTGTGTTACTCATTTTGTTACCAATTTTTGAACAAAAAAATTACAGGTGAAGGGAAATTTTTTTCACCATTGCAATTGATACTTATGTTCGGGTAGTTGTAGTTTGGGGAGTAAACTATGGAAGTAAAAGGCGATTTCTCATTTTTCAATTTAAAAGGGGATTCGTTTTTGGGGATTGTCATAAATTATTTTTTACCATTTAAACTCAACAAATGTTGGGATTATATTTTTCTGAGGATATATGGTGCAAAATTATTCTAGATAAATCTAGGTTGAAATCATGTGCCTTTACCCTGTGTTATTCTGGAACTCCATTCTTTTAATCATACTCGACAATATTTTTTTCTATTAAGTCGGTATTAAAATTTAGTTTTCTGCTAATTTCCAGCAAAAAAGAGAAGTGATTGTATGATACTCCGGCAAAACATTTCTTCAGTTTTCTTTAGAATTGATGTTAATTTCTTAGTAAGTCTACTCATTAATTTCTTAACTAGAAGTCGCTGAAGCATGGTGGATCAGTCGGCTATTTTCATTTTTAAGTTATGATTGTTATTATGGTTTCGTGCTGACTTTTTTTTTTTTTCTCCAGTGGACTGAGAGGGGAAAAAATTACCTACACATGGGGAACACATAAAGCAATAATATGGTACTTTCAGCGATGATCCAAGGAGCAAATAGATCCCCGGTAAAATTTACTTCTGATCCATGTATAAGTTTTTTGTACGATGAACCTATTAATGACTTGACTGATGAATACTTCTTTTATTTTGCAGATGTTTTCATGAAAAAATATATAAAGTCAATGAGTGTTGACGATGACAAAGAAGTTGTTACTCGTTACTGGTAGAGCTTCAGTAATATTATGAAGGATCTTGGGTACATGTATTATATGTAAGTAAGGTTTATGTGTATCAACAGTGGAGAACGGTGA